TCTTCTTCTTCTTCTTCTTCTTCTTCTTCTTCTTCTTCTTCTTCTTCTTCTTCTTCTTCTTCTTCTTCTTCTTCTTCTTCTTCTTCTTCTTCTTCTTCTTCTTCTTCTTCTTCTTCTTCTTCTTCTTCTTCTCCTCCTCCTCCTTCTCCTCCTCCTCCTCCTCCTCCTCCTCCTCCTCCTCCTCCTCGCCTTGATGATGTTACCTAGTCTGGGTAATGAAACATCTGCACCTCATTTCAACCCTGCACTACAAATATTCTCCTTTATTAATTTGTATTATTTTGTACTAAGTTTATTAAAAAATAACTTTAATAAAAGTAGTTTAAAAAAGCAAACATACACACCCTGGGGAGTTGGGATCAATCCCTTTTCAAGAAGAGAGTCAAGACCTTTCTCTTGAGTCAGATCTTTTTCCAATTTTAATAGCTTTTTAAAGTTTTCAGTATTTTTCATAATTAGCCACACAGAGTGCTGTATGAGCAGAAAGGTGGGCTGGAAACCAGAGTGGTCCAGCTGCTGCTATTTGGGGACCATTAATCGCTACCATCAAAAAGCTGCCAGAGTGGCACATGTCCCATGTTCGAGGCCCATCACCCCTGCTTCATTTGTCCTAAGAAAAACAGATTGCCTTGCCTGACAAAGATCAGTCAGCGATGGAACATGAAACACCAGAAACTCATTGTGTTAATTGGTGGTGGCGGCATTTGAAACTCTTAGGAGGCAAAGAGGGAGCAGGCGCACGGACGCTTCAGAGATCTCTTTGTCTAAAAGGAAACATTACAGACCGTGGTTGCATTAGAAAGACCTGGACTTGCTCTTCCTTTATGCTACCCCATCCTCTCCTCTTCAAGCTGGACAAAGATCTTCCGTTTTATTAAGCTGGTCAGGAGCCAGATAGCACAAACAGTACTTGGCACCCTGGTTGCCGATGTGTGCTTGTGCTCTTAAAATACACAGGACACAAGAAAAGTGGAAACTGGTAATAGGCTATGAGAATAACCTTGGGAGGCGGGAGAAAGAGCTGCAGCCTAGGAAACAGTCTGATAAGGGAACTCCGAGTCTAAAGCAGGAACGCAATTTGATAAAATACACAATAAATTGGGTGGGGGGAAGGGGTACGTGTGGTCAAATCATTATATTGTACACCTTCTGGAGGTGTATCACCATGGCCTGGATGAATCCTCTTCTGATCCTCTCTAGGCCATGATAAACCATAGATGTCTGAGAACGGCTCAGGAAACTAGGTCACAGCTCAGCTCATATTGACATTATAGGTTCCTGTAAATCCCTGATGAGATCATAAGCTCCAGAAGATCCTTTTTAGCGAATTAGGATCAAATGAACCTTCTGGAAGATTGGAAGCCTTACAGGAAGCCGTTCAGGTTTCTGGTTATTTTTCTTTTCTTTTTCTCTTTTTTTTTTTCGGACGCCGAGCCAGAGTCTAAGTCAGTTACAGTGATTGTTCAGCTCGGCAGGAACTGTGGATGACCTTATCAAAATCACTTTGGCCTTAATTGTACCTTAAATCCTTCAGAAGGCTCCTTTCCTGAGCAGACATATCTTCTTGTTCCATTAGGGATGACCCACCAGCTGGTACATCCCCTGAAGATAATACCTGTAGTTGACATTTTATCATTCACAGCTTCATTCGAAAAGGTGAGGGAATATTTCATGGGCAAAGCAGGTGCAGCAGAGTGGGCTGGAAAAGGTTCATTCACATAGAATCAAAGTCTATTGGTGGCCTCTGGCTTTTCAGCTATGCTTTGTTATGCACTAGCAAAAGGGACTGTCGCTGTCTGGTCCCTTGGCAGGATGAGAGCATCTGCTATTTTCTTCCCCTGGAGAGTATCTGGATACAGAATATTCTCTCCGGTAACCAAAGAGGGAACTAGTAGCTTAAAGAAGTAAGTAGGGGGGGGGAAACCAAAAAATAAAATAAAAAAGCACTTGGGCTTGAGATTGATTGATTGAAATTAGAGCCTGCTGCATTTTTTTAAGATTCATCCTACGATGCGACATTGTACTAAGGAAACATTGGTTCTCTAGGATGCATCACCCTGCACGTTCTCAAGGGTTGGCGTCATTGTAGCTGATCTTGCTGCCAACCTATCGCTTCGTTATATTTAAATACATTTGCATATAAACAGTTGTTGCTTTTAAGCCCTGCATTTGCTTTCTCGGTAGCATCTGGCTGGGCCTCTGTGGGAAGGATCCAAATGCTGCTACTTATGTTCTTAGCAAAATCTCCTTAGGAGTTGCTTTTTCAAAAAAAGATATTGAAGAAATATCACTTCAGATTACAGGGTTCTCCCCCTCCTTCCACTTTTGGAAGGGCGGGAGTTGGAGGATAATATCAGGATTGAACAAAGGATAAATTGAGAACATTCCGATGCTTAAGGCGACTCTGAGTTTTCAAGACTGCTTCGCCACGTTTCCTACTAAAATACATGGGGAGATTCCATTGGGGGTCAAATCTATTTAGGGTTAGGATTAGGTTCCCATGAATTCGTATAGCAAAGCAGACATCGTCAATAGATTTGTGACTAGGAGGGCTCTTGACTGTTCAAGACTGCCTTATCCATATTTCCTGGCAAAATTACATGGGAAAATCCCATTGGGGGGCAAATCCACTTAGGGTTAGGTCCCCATGAATTTGGAGAGCATAACAGACATCATCAATAGATTCATAGTGCATCAGTATGGTTAGGAAAGTTTTGACTTTTTGGGTGTCCTTATCCGTGTTTCCTGGTAAACTACATGCTAAAATCCCATTTGGGGTGCAACTCCACTTAGGTTTAGGGTTAGGTCCCCATGAATTCAGAGAGCAAAAACCTTCCCTCAAACAATTTTATCTGTGTTCTTATTTGTTTTTCTTTAGGAAATAAAACTAATGTTATTGCTGTTCTCCTAGGAGTCCGTGAGAATCTCCTGGGTACAAAATTGACAGAGTGAAAGTCCAGTAAACTAAGACTCCATCTGCATAAGATGCAGTAGTATATTAGGGGATGACTTTTCCTACCTGATTAAGTACTTACATCCTGTCTTGAAGCAGGTTGTATTTCTTGGATCAGACTTTCTTGGCAGCTGCTGAAACTTTGCAGCATCTGGTGAAGTTCATTTATTTATCTTCCAGGCGTTTAATGGGGTATATATTGTTTCTTTCCAATCCCAGAATTTTATTCACACAATCCTACGAGGAAAGCACGGCTTAGAAGAGAAAGAGAAAACAAATAATGCAAATGAGGTATATTCAGCGCTACCAGATCTGGGCTGCAAATATCCAGACGATCAACCAAATTGCTGTTGTCTAGAGGACAATCAGGGTTTTTTGCATCCCAGGTCTGGTACACGGGCTCCATTGCTGAAGAGGGATTTGAATCTGGACCTCCACTAGTCTTAGTCCAACATTCTAATCACTGTATCAGCTTGGCTATCCCAATACAGCTTTTGGAGGAAAAATTCCAACCTTCCATTACATTTAAGAATCGAGAGTATCTATGGAGATTCTCAGTCATCCAGTCATGGTTGTCCCAAAGGTGCTTTTTTTAAAAAAAGCAACTGGACTTTCTTAGTTTTATTTGAAGATGTTTTGCTTTAAGACATTTCATTTCTCACCCAAGAAGCTTCTTCCATTCTTCTTCAGAAGAAACAGGGCCATCCCAATATATTTTGGAGCCTCCCCCTAAACCCATCCCTACGTTTAGGTGGAGTAAGTAACTGTTCTCAGGCAGCAGGATGATGAACAATGGGGAAATGTTGGCGAGGAAGCTCTTTACACCACTGAGCATCCTAACCAAAGCTATCTGAGCTTGATTCACCCTTCTGGTGGAGGGGAAAATGCAGTTCTCACGTTGGTCTGTTTTAGACTGAATTACAGTGCAGGGGATTTGATTTTTGATTTTTTTGATTTTGATTTTATTAAATTTATACCCCGCCCTTCTCCCGGAGGACTCAGGGCGGCTTACAGCCAGTTTAAAACAATGGTACAGTACAATACAAAATTTAAAAAAGATTAAAAATAACTATTCAAATTTGGCCGCTTTTGGAGACACATTGGCTTGTAACTTCAGGTAGTTAAATGACTCTATTGTTTTCCCCTTCCATGAATAAAAGCCAGACTGGATAGCCACCAAATCTTATTTCCAGAAGTTCTGCGCCTGATCTTGAGAATAACTCAATAAAAGGGCACAATTCCCATCAAAAGGTTAGTAACAACCTTTAAAGCGCTCCATGGCAATGGACCTAGGTATTGGCAAGACCGCCTCCTACCAAACACCTCCCTTCGACCAGTCCGCTCCCACAGAGAGGGCCTCCTTAGGGTGCCGTCGGCCAGTCAATGCCGGCTGGCGACCTCCAGGGGGAGAGCCTTCTCTGTGGCAGCTCCTGCCCTCTGGAATGACCTACCCCCCCCCCCGACCTACGTACAGTTGCGGACCTGCGCCTTTTTCGCCGAGCCCTGAAGGCCCATCTATTCCGTGCAGCCGGCCTGGCGTAGTTTGATTATGTTTTAGTGGGGGGTTTTGTATGGGTGTGTTTTTAGAACAGGCCCGTTATTTAATTTGATTTTAGAACTGCCTATATTTATCATGGTTTTTATTATCGCCTGTTCACCGCCCTGAGTCCCGTAAGGGAGATAGGGCGGTATATAAACTCAACAAATAAATAAATAAATAAACAAACAAACAAACAAACAAACAAACAAACAAACAAACAAACAAACAAATAAATAAAATACATAGCCATTCAATATCCTGCAGCAGCTCCATAACCTAGTGCCTGGTGACCAAAGCAGTTGTCTCAATATGTTTTAAGGTAGAGCTGGCTCTCTGCTCTATGGGGATTTTCCCCACCCTACTTGTCCTTCTAAGCAACCAAGTATTGTTACATTTATTTATTTAATTTGATTGGCTGCCCAACTCTAATGTTGTGGTTATAGTATTTGAAGTAGAAGAAGGACAGGCAGAGCCTGGGGATGGAGTCAAGGGAGGAATCAGCCTGGAGTCATTATGTTCCCACAAGCAGTTTACGTCTAACCTCTCTTGAATTCCACAAACTCTTATCTAGTACCACATTAGTGCTGACTTTTAGTTGACTAGATTCTTGTGTATAGGCATGAGCAATAAATCAACTTAACTGAACTTCTTCAATTGAATTTTAAAAATGATCACACAGAGACTACAAAAACATTATTTTGACTCCAGAATTATGTATACTTGAGAAAAAAGTAGTCATTGTTGCCT